AAAACCCACCACCTGAAATAAAGAAACTCAGCACACAAGCACGCGGTTAGTAAATCGAATGCAGCGTACCTACAAACGCTGCAACGATTCTGTTAACGTCCTCAGTAGGACACGATGTTTCGATGCTGGTCCCGAGTGGGCTCGCTCATGGTTCACTAGGCCTACCTGACTCAAACAGCCGCGATCGCATGTGCTACAGCACCATGCGCTCGACGTCGATGGAGTACAACCAATCGGCGCTTGCCGCTTCTTCCCTGCATGTACGAGGGCTTTCTCTTGCACCTCAGCAATGCCCTTCGTGATCAGGCCGCGTTATGCATGCCGATCAACCGCTTTCGATTACCATGACCTACAAGCAAGATTAGAACGTGATAGACTTATTTCGATCATGTCCTGGTAACGAAGCTTCGGTTTCCCCACATGCCGTTTCTCCACACTCGGGTGACCATATAACAGCTGCTTCGGTATCCGCGTCGAATCCATATGCAGCACACGACCGAGCCACCTCAGGTGTCTCAGCAAGTCAAGTTCCTTGACATCAAAAGCTCATACGATTCAGAGGACCAATATGCTCTTTGGGATTGTCTGGTAAGGAAAAATGGGTCCGATAAGTATGCAAGTGTCGAGTGCGCGTTATAGTTCGGGCAAAACAAAAGCATATCGCTAACTGTCGCAGCCCTTCAATATCTCCAACTGTTTGATGAGAGATTTAGCGTTGTCAGTGTCCTTTCTTAACTACCGACGAAGTCATGGAAACTGTTCAGTGGGCAAGACTTGTTAGCTATAGAGCTGTGTCCAGGCGACACTTCCGAAATTGGAGTACCATGATGACATTGCCCTAATCTGTGACAACTCCCAACTGTGTCAAATCGCACTGCACAGTTCAGCACTGGCTGGCAATCGATTCGGGCTTTGTTTTGCGCTCTTCTCTATGATAGGCAGCGACCTAATTTTGCGTTGACAGTTAGTGGTGATCAACTAGAAATCGTCCAGTAACGCGGGTCACTCGGCAGCCATGTTCATCATCATCATCATCACCATCAGCGTCGTCATCAACATCATCATCACCATCACCATCCTCATCAATACACGTTAGCGAAGGGCGAGGAAGACCTCAGCTAATGTGTCGCGATAAAAAAGATAAGATAATAAAAAATTTCACTACAAAATGATTCCAAGCAGGTAATATGATGTTGAATATTATATTATGCTTTATGTATGAGATCGGAATCGGAGAGGGAATCTAAAAGGGAGGGAGATGGACGAAGAAACTCACAACACAAATGCCGTTGGGCCCGGCTCTTCACCACATCAGCGAATGTGTCCAATCAAACGTGTTTAGCATCCTTCGGAACCCAGCGGCAGTTAGGTTACAGACTGTTGGATCAAAGATGAGAAAACACGAACCGTAGAGCTACAGCTCGAGACGTTTTTGTCAATCTCTGCCATCTGTAGCACCGACAAGACATCGCTCTCATCCCAAACAGCAGTGTGTACCTCGCAGTCATGCGTTCAGCTTTCTTGCACCGTTGTGAAACATGGCCTACTAGGTCGCCAGACATAAGAAGCTACCTACGTTAAACCACCAATGCCTATGCTACCAATAATGAATAGGCTGATGAGTAGCGCTGCAGGCTTTAGTCGGTGTGTGCTTTCAGAGCCAGCCGGGTTTCGTCGAGGTCGTGGCTGCATTGACCACATCTTCACCTTGCGTCAGTTGTTGGAGCATCGTCACATATATTGGCGGCCCACCGTTGTCGTGTTCCTCGATATCAAAGGTGCATTCGATTCGGTGGATAGACATGCACTTTGAGACTGTCTACTCAGGAAAGGTGTACCTGAGAAATATGTAAATATTATCCGATCATTATACGCGCGTAGCTCAGGCAGAGTGAGGGCTTATGGCAAGTTGTCGTCGCCCTTTAATATCTCCAGCGGCGTGAGACAAGAATGCCCGCTGTCACCTTTCCTCTTCAACTTCGATATTGAGGAAATCATGGAAATCACGTTTACAGGACATGACTTAGAAGGTGTGGATCTGCTCTCAGGAGAACGACTTTCACTTGGAGAATGCTGACGGTACTGCTCTAATCTGTGACAGTTCACAAATGTGCCAAGCGGCATTGGACAGATTAGCACTGGCCGTCAACCGCTTCGGGCTTTGCTTCGCACCATCGAAGTGCAAAGTGTTCCCCAAAGATTGGTCTAAACCGCCTCCTACGCTGACCCTTGGTTGGGATCAGCTAGAAGTCGTTCAGAAATTCAACTACCTGGGAAGTTGTATCAGCGCCTTTGGGATTGAAGACGAGGTTACATACCGTATAGAAAAAGCTCGAGGCGCTTTGCTAACCTTCGCCACTTGTGGCGCCGGCACGATATCACTCTTGCTCTGAAGGGTAGAATGTACAATGCAACGATACGTTCGACCATAGTGTACGGTTGTGAAACCTGGCCGCTTAAAGCAGCGGACCTGAAGAGGCTAGTTACATTCGACCATCGGTGCCTTCGCAATTTAGTTCACATCTGGTGGGAACACCGCATAAGCAACGAGCGTGTTCGACGCTTTATTTACGGCACAGGAAAAGAAAATGAACCGCTCAGTACCGTTATTATACGCACCAGGCTTCGATGGCTCGGCCACGTGTTACGCATGCCAGCCCACCGACTCCAGCGACGTGCGCTATTTGCGCGCCGGGGGTGTGGATGGAAGAAGAAGAGAGGTGGCCAAGCGATGATTTGGTCCAGAGGAATGAAGTCCCTCACTTCAAAGCTAGCTTCAGTTGGAGCGTCTCGGCTCCCTGGTTGGGGTCCGAAAGACGATGAACACGTTTGGTTGGACACACTTGCTGATATGGCTGGGAGCCGACCTCAGTGGCGTTCGTGCTGTGAGTTTCTTTGTCCCACCCCATCCCTCTTAGCCTCACCCTCCAACCACAATCTCATTACTTAGCCTTATACAATTTTGCGCAGTAATTTTTTTGGTCCATAGTAGCCGGCTGATAGCTTACCGGAACTATGCCCATCCGTTACCGGTACCTCGGCTGGCTTGCACCAGTTGCATTTTATTCCCTTTTTTCTTTTAGGTATTGCGGCACAGCGGCTGGAGTGTTTCCCAACTCTAGCTAACGTGTATAGTGTGTGTGTACTTTCAGAGTGCAAAGTACTGGTTTAGTGATAATCAGACACAACACTGGTTTTTGGAGGTGGTCGATAGACCTACTCACCTTTGTGGTTGTCACCTCTACTGATCACATCACTGAGTAATTCACGTATTACCAAAGTCCCTGTGGCTTCCCAGAGGCTTGATCATAAATGGAGACCGCAAATAAGTCAGCGGTAGTGTGCACAACGCGGGGATAGGGTTGATGTAAGACATCACGAGATTAGCCGCTTCTAATTACCGGTGCTTGCAGAATATCGTTCGAGTCTGGTGGAAACGCCCGGTAAACAGTGCGGAAGTACGCCAGTCGTTGCTTACTAAGTGGCTCTCTATTGCCCCATTGGAGGGCATATCGAATCTGAACCGTTTAGGTTGGTGACGTCATGTCCTCCGAATGCCGGTCGCCCGCATTTCTCAGTGTGCATTATCCCACGCACTGCATTTAGTTGCGAGAAATCAAAAGGCAGTCAGTCGTACACAATGGCATAAGGAAATCGACTGATACTTGTTCAGGTGGATGCGTGGAGCCTAGGAACGGACCGCAGCAGTGTTTGGAGACCCAAATGAACATGCTTCTGGTGAAAAGTCAGTGGTGCTTTTCGTTCCAGTTTCCTGTAGCTATCAGTGAATATTTCACCAGGATTAGTTTACGTACTTCTTTCTTGATTCCATTTCCTTCGCACCCTGTCTGCATCTTATCTCATTTTCTCATCACCGTTGGTCATTGTTGTGCTGCAGGGCTGAGTGACGTTAACTGAATGAATCGCCCTTCGGTGACCCAATAATGGCAGTTTAGCAAGAAAAAAGTAGATTGATTTTCAAAACTAACACCGCTGCGCCCAATCATCCAATGTCGACAGCTACCTGAAGCCAGAGTATGATAGGTTAGGAAAGATTGGAGATCTGTCCACAGTTCAATTCAGTTAAACAACCATGCTCCGAGCAGCAAAGTGTGATGAAACCAGTTACCACGATTCACGTCGCCGGGAGTAACAACAAATAACGGCAAGGAACTAAGGTTGAATACAAATAGAATATAAACAAAATGGGCTAAGGACAGAAAAAAGCAAGATAAAATGGGATGGAATGAAAACTAACAGATAAATGCAAGAAACCAAATGCATGAGCGAGATCTCTGGTAGGGTCGCCGAAAACTAGTGTGGACCATTCTGGGGCCACGATCCATGAAGACGGCACGCACCAGCCTGACCAAATCTCCCGGTCAGTTTTCTCATGCCACTATGCTACGTTATGGACTGGCCACCTCGCGGTTTCGCGCAATTTGGTGCAATCACGGCGTATAATGTACGCCGATCACGTCGGTCAAAGGAATATTCGGAGGACATGACCTTGCCATTGTTAGCGGGTATAATCCAACAAACACTCGGATGAGTCGCCAGAAGACTTTTGTCAAAAATCAACTGGTGGACCTCAGCATTGCTCATCCGGTGCTTCTACCAGAAGTGAGCCATATTCTGCAACTACCGGTGGTCAAACATAGTCGAGCGTTTAATGTCTTCAATGCGAATTGGTCAAGTCTTTGATCCATACAGTAAGACGAGCCTTATCTGTTCATAGTAAAGGCGCCGATGTGTTGCCCAATCAGTTCGCCTAATTAAATTCCAACTTTCGTCCCAACCAATCGTGCGCTATACACAATGTCTATCACAACAATTACATCGAGCCGTCAATATCGGGATGTAACAGCAGTAAAGATTTGTCGCTTCATCGAGGCTGACAATATCACACATGCCACAGAGCACCTCAGATGAGGTCAATAAACTAGTCTAGACAATAAACAGAAATTGACGCCACAAGCACAGGAATTGATTTGACTCACCATAAAATACATACGTGGAGTATCCAGTAGAAGTTCGGAAAAAGCAACTTCTTGGGGTGCAATGGTACAATAGACAAACATTACCCTAGGAGAAATGGTATGGATAAGCAACTCAAAAGGAGGAAAACTAACCATGTGAGCATGTACAATTGCGTTGCACGTCGTAAAATCGCAGCAGCTTTGCAAACATGAGGTCAACGGCAGCAGTCCATCAAACAAGAGAGTATGCGAAAGTGCATTTGGCCGGATAAGGAGTCTGGAACGGTTGTGTTGGAAGAAAGCGATCGCACAAGAATCAGTGGTGAACTGGTGTGGAGTATCTGCAGCCACAAACGCCGAAAAAACGAATGTAAAAAACAACGCCTTCATCCGAACGTTCACAAAATCTTGGCGATGCTCATCGCTATAATAGAGATTATTTTTTAAATTGTAATAAGAAAGTTAAAAATTCGAAGTAGCTATACTACAACTAGTCACCCAAAAGGTATGATCCACCATTAGCAACACCATCACAGCTACACGCTTGTCGAGACAATACAGAGAAATAAGCAGGTATATATATATATATATATATATATATATATATATATATATATATATATCACCCACTGCCTTGTGGGTCAGGCTATTGAGCCAAAGGCTCCGGGTGGAGTCCCTCAAGCAAACCTCCGAAGCACAACGACCACCTCGCGTGCGATTGCCCACCGATGCGATCGTATGCCTGCGCGCAAAGCACTCAGCATTGGGTGCTGGAACGTGCGCACACTACTGGACCGGAACTCGAGCGAGCGCCCGGAGCGACGCACTGCACTGGTCGCAATGGAGCTGGCCCGCTACCACATCGATATTGCTTCGCTCAGTGAAACTCGGCTCGCTGAGCAAGGTAAGTTACATGAAGCAGGTGCTGGCTACACATTCTACTGGGTGGGGAACGCCGCCTCAGCACCACGTGAACATGGGGTCGGATTTGCAATATCCGACCGCCTGAATGGCCTTCTGGTGGGTGAACCAACGGGCATCAGCGCGCGGCTGATGATTGTTCGCCTGCGACTCGGAAGAGGTAAGTTTGCTACTTTCATAAGCACGTACGGTCCGACCATGTGTTATCCTGATGACACGCGTGATCAGTTCTACACTGAGCTATCCTCCGTGATACGGTCTGTGCCGAGGAGCGACCGACTATTTCTGCTGGGTGATTTCAACGCGCGCGTTGGGCGTGATGCATCAGCGTGGACAGATGTTATCGGTGCGCATGGCATTGGTTCAGCGAATGCGAACGGTGACAGGCTGCTCTCACTGTGTGCCACTCACGGCCTGACGATCACGAACACTCGGTTTGCACTGAGTGCGAGTGATATAGCAACTTGGACGCACCCACGGAGTGGTCACGCTCACCTGCTCGACTATGTCATCGTACGTCAGCGTGATATGCGTGAAGTGCGCATGACACGTGTACTGCGTGGAGCTGAGTGTGGCACTGATCACAAATTGGTTCGGACCAAACTGTACATATATTTTCGTAAATCGATGTATTGCACTCCCGCCGTGAATCGGCGTAAATTTAACATTCTCTCCCTCGGTACTGTGGCGAAACGTACTGAGCTGGAGAAGGCGATGGCTGCACGCCTGTGTGGTGATGTGGACTGTATAGCCACAGTGGGCGACCTGTGGCACCACATTCGCGACCAGGTGACAGCTGCTGCGGAGGAGACCATCGGGCGCGCAAACTGTAAGCGGCCTGATTGGTTTGATGACAACAATGTGACGATTGACGCATTGGTGTCAGAGAAGAATGCAACATTTGCTGCACATGTTGCAGACCCCAGTGACTTGGGGAAGAGTAGTCAGTTTCGCAAACTTCGACGGCGACTGACCCGAGAGCTCCGTCGCATTAAAAATGCATGGTGGACGGAGAAGGCGAAGCAGATGGAATGCTACGCCGAAGTCCA